GGAAAGAGGGACAATGGATAGAAGGTATAGATGTTCAGCTTAACGTTCCAACTATTTCTCATTCAAGTGCCTAAGAGCAAAATGGTTCAATTTCATCCCACCCACAGCATGCCTTCTTAAATGCAACCAGGCACCTTCAAAGAAAATCAAAAGGTAGGAAAAACCCAAATAACAGCAGAGAAACTAGTCAAGGTGAAAACAAAGATAACTTGAGAACTTTGCCAGGGATTCCAAAATCAAATGCAAATGCCAGAAATACTACAAAGGCAAAAATGAGACCCGAGAGTACTAAGATGGCTTCATGTGAACAGTGGATAGTGTGACCTGGGATAAAAGTGCTAAGGGGGTAGATGACAGTAGGTGGGGCGCTGTGCACTCAGCCGGGGGCTGGCCCTGGAGGTCTGGGCAGGTGGGGTTGGGAGAGGGCAGAGTCTAAGCACTGGGTTGCTTCTCCAGTACTTCCCTCCAGCCGCCGGCTCCTTTTCAGGATCACAGATGATTACTGGATCGTTCTTCCCTAACCTAGCCTTAATATCTCATTGAAATTTTTACTTTGAATTATACTTTATATTCCTGTTCTTAATTTTGAAGTTGATTTGTAACATGTATTTCTCTTCTCCAAAAAAGTTTCCCTGAAATCTGAATTTTCCCTCTTCCTCTCCTGTTGCACCACATTGAGGGTGAAAAGAAAATGGTTCCTTACCTCTACACCAAAGTCATTTATAATAAGACTTTGTATAGAAGTTGAGGGAGATTGCTTAATGTGCTAAAGGACCAAAAGGTGCCACTGGAAGCCGATTCGGGCAGGGTCTGAGTATTACTATTAATATTCTTATGTGGAAGTGCATGTCCTCACCTGTTACATTCTGTCTAATCATCTGTGAAGTACTTATACCCTCATTTGCCCTTTTAGAAAGGGAGCTATTTCACTGGCATTTATTTAGATTTTTCTAAAGATCATTGCAAGTATGTACTCCATCTAGTCTGCCAAGTGAGTGGCTTCTTTGTCTAAAACATTTATTTTATAGCAGTATTAGTAGACTAAATCTTTTGGGGTGACATGCGGGCACACCAGCTAATCTGGGCATAGAGTTGGCCTTATTTTTAATAAAATAAGTGCTGCCTCCCCGAAACACACACACATGCACACACACGCACACACACGCACATACACTTTTGTCTTGCAACAGATTTCTTCTTCAGAAAAAGAGAAAAAGAATGTAACACAACATTCCTTTCAGCCAGACTTTAGCCAGAAGGTGCCTACAACAACTTTACTGTAGCTTAAAATTTTCAGTCTACAGTGGTTCCAGGGGATTTTAAGCCTTTCAGAGGCCTGCTAGTCAATATTTTTCTCTTCTCTGTATTTATGCCTTTAGCACACACACTCTGTATTTCAGATAAAGCTTACCTAGACTTCAGTCACTATGAAAGTAATGACCACAGACAGCTTCTAAAATGTTTTGAGAAATGTATTGCTGAAAATGTTTGGGGACATGTTGTCCTATCGAGTCTGTAAGAAATAATCAGTCATGCACGGAAGACCTGCTTTCATAGAGGACTCCCGATAGACCTCGCTCCCCTCGTGCAGGGTTTTGATAGCTAAGAATAAAATGTACACTTATATACTGGCGTTCTGGGGAGTAAAAAACAAATGACAGCTATATCCTTTGGTGGAAGGGTATGTATTCTTTTTCAAAATGTGCTGCTGATTTTTACATTTTAACATGTATCCTGGTCACAGGAACACAAGTATATTGTATTGTGTCTGTGCGCATCAGCCGTGTTCTTCTGCTCTGAGATCTTCCAGTTTCTTGATACTTCGTATGCATTAAGACTGCTGTTAATCATTAATTCATCAGCTCTCTGTTGAGTATCTTGCAGTGTGTCAGGCACTGATCTGGATTCTGGAGATGCAAGCAGTGAACATCTGTGCCTTTTACTGTGTGCACTGGTTCCCTGCTGCAAAGCTCTTTGTCGTAGTCTGTTCCAGCTGCTAGAACAAAAATACTGTAGACTGAGTGGCTTAAACACTTAGGAGGCTGGAAGTCCAAGATCAAAGTGTCAGCATGGTTGGGTTTGGGTAGGACTCTCTGCCTGGTTTATAGATGGTTGCTTTCCTGCTGTGTCCTCATAGTGGGGAGACAGTGCTCTGGTGCTTCATCCCCTTATAAGGGCCCCGATCTCATCATGGGGGCCCCACACTCATGGCCTTATCTAAACTCAGTCACCTCCCAAAGGCCCCACTTCCTAATAGTGCCACATTGGGGATTAGAGTTTCAACACATGAATTTGGGGAGACACAAACATGCAGTCCATAGTACTGTTCTTGTAGGAGTTCCTTGCACTGTCATTCTGGGTCTCTCTTTTCTTCCTTCTGTGTTGTACCCCTTGTTTCTGGGATCCTATGTCATCTTTCCAGATTTAACCCCTCATCCTAGATGGGCACATCCTCTAATAGCTTCCTGGGAAAGAATGAATGCAAGGTAGAATTTGAGTTCTTGAATATCTGAAGCTGTTTGTTCTTCCCTTTTACTTGATTGATAGTTTGGTTGGGAAGAGAATTCTATGTGGAGAATAATTTTCACTCCTCCCACTTTTGAAGGTATTGTTCTTTAGTTTTGTCTGTGTTTAGTGCCACTCCAGTTTCTGAATTATTTGTATATGGCCTTTTTTCTCCTCTATGCAAGTTTTTAATAGTTTTATCTGTAGTGTTCCCAATTTGTACTCTTTGTTCTGGGCACTTAGGGTTCACTCCAGGCACCTGAGTAATTCTGGACCCATGTTTTGTGTTTTCTCCCCCATGTGCTTTCTCTTTCTAGAATGAATACTCTTCTCTCCTGTTATGTATTTTTGTTGTTTTTCTATTTTCTGGAATATTCTTCAAGTTTATCTTCAATCTCTACTCTTTTTTTTTTTTTTTTTTTTTTTGGTTTCTTGACACAGTTTTCAAATTCTGAGGAAGATGGACAGGAAGGTGGAGAAAAAATGAGAGACTAGCTGTAGGTGTTTGGACGGGCACATTTAACTATAATTTTCCACCAGCAACCCGGACCGGGGCACGAACCCATGTCCCCTGCATCGGCAGGCGGACTCTCAACCACTGCGCCACCAGGGAAGCCCTCTACTCTTTTTGTTTTGCTATTTTATGTTTAATTTCAAGAGCTTTTTTGTTTTTTGATTATCTTTTTTATAGTATTCCATTTTTGTTGCACAGATACAGTAGCTTCCCTTTGAATACCTTATAATTTTTGTTTTTTTTGTTGTTGAGTTTTTCTTCTAGTCACTGCATTGTTTCTATTTCCACCAAGCTTTTTGTTTCCTTGTTTTGTCTCCATCTTTCCCATTGGAACCCTCATTCAACTGCCTGATGGTCCTTGGCTGTCAATTGTCATTTAAGGCTGAAGCATTAAAAATCTAACTAGAAGCTCTATAGGCAAGATTTTTTTAAACTAGTATCCTTGCTGTAGTGATCAACTTTTGGGTGATGTTTTTTGTTGGAGGACTGTAGATATCTATGGGGCTATTTAGTTGATACAGAAAAGATGCTTCTAGCCTCCTACTTGGAATGAGAAGTGGGGGACCAGTGTTGTGAGAGCCATTTGGGAGAAGAGGACTGGGGGTCCTACTGTTTAGACTTTCATTTCCCCTCTACTGTCAGCCTTGAATGCATCCCTCTCTAGGTGTTCAGATTTCATTTGCGGACAGATTGAACTTCAGGCTTATGTGCTTATCAATGAAGTAAACCCAGAGGAGTAAGGGAAAATGACCTATAGACAGTGACATTCAGGAATAACTACTGTAAATGATGAATGTGTTAGGGCTTCCTTGGTGGCACAGTGGTTGAGAATCTGCCTGCCAATGCAGGGGACATGGGTTCAAGCCCTGGTCCGGGAAGATCCCACATGCTGCAGAGCAAGTGAGCCTGCATGCCACAACTACTGAGCCTGTGCTCTGGAGCCTGTGAGCCACAACTACTGAGCCTGTGTGCTGCAACTGCTGAAGCCCATGCGCCTAGAGCCTGTGCTTTGCAATGGGAGAAGCCACCGCAATGGGAAGCCCGCGCACCGCAGCAGGGAGCGGCCCCCGCTCGCCGCAGCTAGAGAGGCCCCGCACGCAGCAGTGAAGACTCAACACAGCCCCAAATTAATTATTTTTTTAAAAAGATGAATGTGTCAAGAAACCGCCAATATTTACTACTCACCAGTCCTCGTTTAGTTGCAACAATTGATATGCAACTCTGCATGAATTCTGGCAGCAGACCCATCATCTAAATGCCGGAATAACTGGGAGCGTGTTTTTGAAGTTGCTGGGCATCTCCCACCACCCTCCTTCTCCTCTCCCCACCACCCACCATGGTGGTATGTGGGGAGGGACTGTGGGGCTCTCACTGCTCCATATATCCAGTTCCTTCAATCTCCCTGTGTTCAGCCCCAGCCTCCACCCGCCTTGCAACACTAGTATCTTTCTGCAGTGTTCTCAGGATTAAATAAATTGGCTTACTCTTCAGAGCAGTCTGTTGGGTTTCATCTTCCTTCACTCTCCATTTTCTTAGAATCTGGGGACATCTCTACTGTGTCTGTGTCTCCTACCCCATTCTCTTGGTCCTTATGGGTTTATTCCTTTTGCATTCTTTATTCTCTTTTAAGAGTATTTGGGAAGAGAGAATCATGTGGGTTCTACCACTCATGTTCTTAAGAAGACTAGTTTTGCTACTATGCAGAATTGAGGAAGGAACAGTTCTGCAAGAAGACCCATTGGGAGACTGAGGCATCACCCAGCAGGGCAGGAGCAGAGCGGGGTCTGAAATACCCTGGGGAGATGGGATTGGCAGCACAGGGAGAGGAAGGAGCACCACCTGCTTCAGAGTATTCTTAGTTTTAGAAAGCAGCTTATAAGGCCAGACTGATGGCTCAGTGTGCCTGCATTCTTGGAAACATAAAGGGACCTTTCAAAAAAAGTCATGGTTCTTCATGCTCATTGTTAAAAAATTTGAAATTATAAGCAGACAAAATGGAAGTAATATGTAATTATAACAAATATTTAAAATCTCTGCCAAAATGGTTAGGAAGCCTTCCACCATATAGCTTACGGTAGTGACTGGAGTAGTGCCCGACCATGGAGCATTGGGTTGTTGCTGAGTTCTTTGCTGTGGTGGGCATGTTGCCAACCTTTGAGTGCCTCTCCTCACACAGTGGTATCCTCAGGTGGAGTCATGGAGTCAGGTGGCTTGCCCAGCTATTTGATGCATGTTGTAAAGGCTAACTTTGTTAAAACTGGAAAAATGGCCTCAAGTTGTTGGGGCATATAGGGGTGAGGGTCAGAGGAAGGAAACGACAGCATTTGTTTTAGCACCTGCAAAGAATTTTCCTCAGTGTTTCTTCATGGTTTTGAATCCTCAGATGACACTCACTTGTCACCTTGCAGCCATGCAGTTTGTACCCAGGAATCAGCCCAGCTAGAAAGTGAACAGTGAAAACACTTTCGACAGGATTTTCATTAAACCTCTTTTGTTGTGACCCATCTGAGGAGTGAAGTTAAAAGAAAGATAAATTCTTATGGTCCTTATGATTTGATTACCTTGTCATTTTTCTTGGTCATCATTCTGTGGCCTGTCTATCCAGGGTTGGAGGAGTTCGGGCATCAGTTGCTTCAAGCCCTCTTTCAGCAAATCCCAAACTGCTTCTTTTTGGTCCATGTATTAAGTCAAGAATTTGAGTAACTAAGTGCCACTTGTGCTGAGAGAAACAGTGAGTGGACACTTGCACGCGTGTGGGGGTGCCTGCTGCACACTTGAGAAAGGTGGTGCTCTCTCCGAGGTGAGAGACACTCTGCTTCCTTTCCTTTTCTTTTTTTTCTTTCCTTTTTTTTTTACTTGACTGTCTTATCTAAGTAATGTAACATTTGGAAATCATTTCAGCAGGTAATTCCGTGTATGCACATACCTCGTTTGTTGATGGTAGATGATGTGGAAAGCAAAATCAGAAATGGTGAGGGCACTTGCGAGGAGGTGTTGCAGTTCCAGGCTAGTTGCTCCTCTGAGGACAAGACACAGGTGGTCAGCGTTCAGCAGACTCACGGCTCCAGGGAATTGAGTGTGAGTGAGTGGGTGCGTGTGCAGCCCCTGCTCAGCACCGGCAGCATTACTTGTGTGCTCTTTTTTTTTTCTTTTAAGCCATTCTTCAGAAGCCTTTCCCTTCTTTTTGCTCTTATTGGCTTCATTTATTGGTAGCTTGTAGTAATTGTATAGAAAAAGAAAATGGGGTGTAAAAATGCTAATCTGTATTTTTCTATTATTATAACTTTAGTGGCTCAAGGAAAAAAAATTCAAAAATACGACTGTCCAAAGGCCTGCTTGATCCAAATCCATGCACCCTTATCAAGAGTTAGTATTTAATAATATGAACAAGAAAAACAAAGTTGAGCCACAAATAAAATTGGACTAGTTTATCAGATACCAACCACAAATGTTTTTGTTTTTGTTTTTTTGAGATTTTTTTTGACATGGACCATTTTTAAAGTCTTTATTGAATTTGTTACAATATTGCTTCTGTTTTATGTTTTGGGTTTTTGGCAGCTAGGCATGTGGGATCCCAGCTCCCCTACCAGGGATCGAACCTGCACCCCCTGCATTGGAAGGCAAAGTCCCAACCACTGGACTGCCAGGGAAGTCCCACAAGTGTTATTTTTACTAAAATTTTTTGGAAATTTTTATTCTTTACTCTAGAAGGCTTTGCAGAGCTCATCATCCTGTTGCTTGAATGTACTGGAGAATTAAGTATATTCCCCATCTAGCTTGAGGGAACAGACCCAGTTTTGGCTGATGGATCTCAAACTTTTGTTTCTCCCAGTCAGTGTCCTAGAACAGAGGGAGAGTGGGGTGGGAAAATGAGTCCCCTTGCCTTTCCTGTCCTTCAGCTCCACACTCTGAGCCCCCATGTGCTAGCTCTGCTGGTGCTCGAGACGTGGCGCTTAGCAAGTAGGCCCTTTCCTGCCTGCACAGAAACACAGAGATGTTTAAAGGATTCTCCAAGTGTGCTCCCAGTAACCTCGCAGACCCTTGGTTTTACCTACAGCATGCCCTTCCCAGTGGCAGGCCTCTTCCTGCATGTGGCTGGATGGCTTTCCTTCTGCTCAGCTCCCTGGAAGCAGCAGTAATCCTGCGCTCAGGTCATCCTCCTGGAGTTCTCCTTTTCACTCCACTGATGCAGTTTATTCCTGTTCAGATGGCAGCTCCTTTTGAGTGCCAGTCTTCAGGCAGGGGACCTTGGCTCTTAGGTCCCCTTCACGGGCTTGGTGGGGGGGGACCAGCAGTGGCATTCTCTTCCAGGTATGTTGAGTTGGTGTGCTGTGAGCTCAGGATTGCACTTTTACTTCATGGGAAAACCTTTTCATAATTCTGTTTACCTACAGAATTGTATTGGCTAACTCTGGTTATTGATGAAGTCTTGTTTCTTTAAGTGGTTTATAATTCTGCTCTCATTGGACTGCTGTAGATCGGGCTTTACCTAGGATCTTAGATATGCTCTGACTCATTTAGAAAGATTTCTAATATTTAGATTTTTTTTTTTTTAGAGTATGTAGGTCTATAAGGAAATATAAGAATAGAGGGACACTCAGTCATGTAATACTAATAGCAATCTTTTTTTTGTTTCTTAACAGATGCAGCAGCTTTTTTATGAGAATTATGAACAGAACAAGAAGGGGTACATTAGAGATCTCCATAACAGTAAAATTCACCGAGCCATCACACTGCACCCTAACAAAAACCCACCCTACCAGTACAGGCTCCACAGCTACATGCTCAGCCGCAAGATTGCTGAGCTTCGACACCGCACCATCCAGCTGCACCGAGAGATTGTCCTGATGAGCAAATATAGCAACACCGAGATTCATAAAGAAGACCTCCAGCTGGGAATTCCTCCTTCCTTCATGAGGTTTCAGCCCCGCCAGCGAGAGGAGATTCTGGAGTGGGAGTTTCTGACTGGGAAATATTTGTATTCGGCTGCTGACAGCCAACCCCCTCGAAGAGGGATGGACTCCGCGCAGAGGGAGGCCTTGGACGACATTGTCATGCAGGTCATGGAGATGATCAATGCCAACGCCAAGACCAGAGGGCGCATTATTGACTTTAAGGAGATACAGTACGGCTATCGCCGAGTGAATCCCATGTACGGGGCCGAGTACATTCTGGACCTGCTGCTTCTGTACAAAAAACACAAAGGAAAGAAAATGACAGTGCCTGTGCGGAGGCATGCGTATTTACAGCAGACCTTCAGCAAGATCCAGTTTGTGGAACACGAGGAGCTGGATGCAAAGGAACTGGCCAACAAAATCAATCAAGAATCCGGATCCTTGTCCTTTCTCTCGAATTCCCTGAAGAAGCTTGTTCCCTTTCAGCTCCCTGGGTCCAAGGATGAGCACAAAGAACCCAAGGAGAAAAAGATCAATATATTGATTCCTTTGTCTGGACGTTTTGACATGTTTGTGAGATTCATGGGGAACTTTGAGAAGACATGTCTCATTCCGAATCAGAATGTCAGGCTCGTTGTTCTACTCTTTAATTCTGACTCCAACCCCGACAAGGCCAAGCAAGTTGAACTCATGAGAGATTACCGCATTAAGTACCCGAAAGCCGACATGCAGATTTTGCCCGTGTCTGGAGAATTTTCAAGAGCTCTGGCCCTAGAAGTGGGATCTTCCCAATTTAATAATGAATCTTTGCTCTTCTTCTGTGACGTTGACCTTGTATTTACTACAGAATTTCTTCAGCGATGTAGAGCAAATACAGTTCTGGGCCAACAAATATATTTTCCAATCATCTTTAGCCAGTACGATCCTAAGATTGTTTATAGTGGGAAGGTTCCCAGTGACAACCATTTTGCCTTTACTCAGAAAACTGGCTTCTGGAGAAACTATGGGTTTGGCATTACTTGTATTTATAAGGGAGATCTCGTCCAAGTAGGTGGCTTTGATGTTTCTATCCAAGGCTGGGGGCTCGAGGATGTCGACCTTTTCAACAAGGTTGTCCAGGCAGGTTTGAAGACATTTAGGAGCCAAGAAGTAGGAGTAGTCCACGTCCACCATCCTGTCTTTTGTGATCCCAACCTTGATCCCAAACAGTACAAAATGTGCTTGGGGTCCAAAGCATCAACATATGGGTCCACACAGCAGTTGGCTGAAATGTGGCTAGAAAAAAATGACCCAAATTACAGTAAAAGCAGCAATAATAATGGCTCAGTGAGGACAGCCTAATGTCCAGCTTTGCTGGAAAAGACATTTTTAATTACCTAATTTATTTTTCAAAATTTTTTTGTATGATCAGTTTTTGAAGTCCATACAAGGATATATTTTACACATGATTTTCTTACAAAGGACTCCTTGAAGATTGAGTTTTTTGAACAAAAATGTGATCATGTTTGCCTTTTGAACACATTTTCTTGCTGAACATTATGTAGCAGACCTGCTTAATTATGACTTGAAATGTACCTGATGAACAAAACTTTTCTTTTTTAATATTTCTTTTTCAGACCTCTTTGCTATAGTCCTATGGCAGAAAACATGAACGTTCCTGCAAAGTATTATTGTAACAAAACACTGTAACTCTGGTAAATGTTTTGTTGTAACTGTTAACTTTGCACAGATTCTACCTTTTGTCTTTTTTTACAGCAATTTTTTAAAGCCATTTTATGTTGCAGTTGTCAAATAAAGAAATGTGATAGTAGCTGTATCATCATCTTCAAGAGAGCTTTCCAAAGGTGATTGTTTCCCCCAATCTTGTCTCATTTTTGAAGGTTTTTCAAGGCAAAGGGAGAAGGGAAAGCACAGTAAAAGATAGATGGCTGTTCTTGTAATTAGTGTGGCCTAATGGACCTGGCATTACATTTCAAGAAGGGTCTGGCATTTTCTCTTCTCCAGACCCTTCTTTTTAAAGGGTAAAATATTAATATTTAGAATGGCAAATAAGAATTGTTGTCATAAATCTAATGTATGCAAGCTAAAACAAAGACAAAAAAAAAACCCAACCCTAATGAAAGCATTGGGGGGAAATGTATCTGATTTTGTTCACTTCATCCTGTCTGTGTTATGTTGATGGAGATGGGTGTCTCATTCTTTAATTACTGTTTTGTTTTATCTTTTGTATCTGAAATACCTTTAATTTATTTAATATCCATCGTTTAGAACTCTGCCATTTCCCAAGTACCTGTTAGTTATTAGTATTTATGTGTATTAGGAATGTTTAGTATATTTTATTTGCAGTAAACTGATCTCCAAAGATTTCCTTTTGAAAACTCTTTTCCCCTTCCTTAATTTTTACATTCCTTACTGTTTTACTAAATATTAAGTGTTCTTTGATAATCTTGGTGCTCACATGTTTTGGGGACAAAAGTGAAATGAATCTGTCATTAAACCAGAAAGTTTGTTTTAAATTCACAGAACAAATGTGCCTTAAATTCTTTTTTCATTTAGATTTCAAACAGTAATAGATTTGCCATTTTAATATACATCATTGGAGATCTGCTTATTTGTAAATAGCCTATTGCTCATTTGGAAAAATAAACCAGTGGACAATATTTTTCTATTGTACTTTTCAGAACCATTTTGTCTCATTACTTTTGTTTTAGCTGAAGAATTGTATTGCATTTGGAGAGTAAAAAACTTAAACACTGATTCATAAGGTTTTTCAAGTTATTTGAGGGGAATATTTGTATGCACTGCAGTTCAGAAATGAAATGAAACTTTCAAGTGCCTCTTCCTTTATATTTTCCTTAGAATGTACTTGTCACCTTTTGTTTGTTCCTCTTAAAGAACTTGCTTGAATCTTGTGTTTTATAGAACAAAGTTCTTCAAACCAGGTCCAAGCCCCATCTGGCTTCTTGGTACAAATGTACCTTCCAGGCCTCCTTAGTACACCTGCCAGGCCAGTTAAAATCTGCATTTTAACAAGTGCCCACATGATCCTGTGTACACGAATGTGCTCAGGGTTTTAGGATGGATCTAGCTACAGGATAAATTGCCTACAGTTGGCATATAATCCAAGAATCAAAAAAGTAAGATCTTTGATGCCAAGGTAGCAAGCTTTGTGGATGAAAATTACACTCCCAGGACAGGTATTTACTATGTTATGACAGTGAAGATCCAGTATAATGACACTGTGCTCACAGTACGAATTGCTGTCATTCATCCTAATTGCCGTTTGCTTTGTGGGAGTGTTTAGTTTTTCCTTGGAAAAAAGCAAAGACATATTTATTCTTCAGTAAGGAAGAACATAATATACATCTTGATGACAAAGTCACTTAAATTGTCTCTCTTTACCATAATAAGGAACTGTAGGACAGGGTGTGAGCAATTACTTTATTGAGCTTCAATGTCCATCAGATGTCCTGGTGACACTTTGTTAACACTGGCTATTTCCTTCCCTAATCCCACTCTTGCCCGTGTCTGTTCCTTTTCCCTGACATCACTGTTAATGTTGATGGAGGTGCTGACCTCTCTTCATCAAGACTCCACCTCCAGAAATGCCGTTGGACCCCTTCACTCTGGTCCTCTTCCCTCATAGTGCCGTGCCTGGATTCTGTGCCCACTGGCCTGCGGGCTCATTCTCCACCTGGGCACTCCCTCTTCCTAAAGCACCCCTCCAAATCAGCAGCTCTGGTGCCCTCCTCCACTGCCCAGAGAGTGGATTCTGTAGGACACCCTTCAGGGTACTGCTACCAGCCGAACTGGGCTCTTCGTTTGTGAGGACATCAGTCTCTCTCCTGCCTGTGCTTTCTCTCTGTCTGGAGCTCTCTCACCACCTTATTCCACTGGCCACCTGGACTCATCTTCCAAGAGCCCGTTGAAACTCCCCCATGGTCCATTCTGGTGTCATTTCAGACCCTTCCAGTGTGGATGTGACACAAGTGGACAGTCTCATTGGACTGCAGGCCTGAGTCTCTTTTCTAGGTGGTGATCCAGCATGCTGGGCCCTCGTGTCTGGAACGGCCAGCAGTGCCCCACGCTACCCCAGCCCCTCCATCAGTGCTCCATTCCCCACCATGCACTCATCCCAGCAGAATGCCCTCCGTCCTGCCTGCCCACTGCTCCCACCTGGAACTGCATGGCCTGTGACCCTGTGGGCCCCACACTCATGACCTAAGATGATTCCTTCTTCCCTTAAACTTGGAACACTTTCTGGTTAGACCTCTTTGCTTCGTTTGTTACTTTAGACTTTCTCTTAGCTTTCATTACTTTACAGAAAAGTATTAAGAAAACGAAATGGCCCGTAACCCCCAAGCCAGATAACTCCTGTTAATAATTAAAAATTAAGGATAATATGTGAAGGTGGTGAAGCGGGGTGGGGATCACAATGCTCAAAGGTGTGAATGGCCTCTCCTTCCTCCAACCATCCAGCCCTCAGGCCCTTCCCGCAAAGAACCACCAGGTTTGTGGGGTTCTGGTGTGGAAGGTGGGATGAATTGTATATAGGCTAGCATCAGTAGCGTTTTAAAAATTCATTTACACAGATGAGGGGGTACATGCTTGCTTGGGCACATGGATCTGTGCCAGCATTTGTTGCCACCGGACAGACTTACGGACTTGGGTTCTGAGAGCAGGCTGGGTGGGCTTCCTAGGCATTGTGGTTGCACGTGTGGGAGCCCTGCCCAAGTGGAGGCTGGAGAGCCTTGTTTCTCAGGGCAGACAGCACAGACATCTCACTTCTGGAAGGTGGCATCGCTTTCCCAACACTTACTCTGGGCCGGCGTGAGAACACACACACAGACCCGAGCATGTGGGACTTTGATGGTTGGAGACAGGCCACGTGTCACACAATGTAGGTCATGTGATGGTCCTCTTGGTGTGAGGGCGGTGCCATCTGTTTCAGAGTCTTGAGAGCAGAAGGGCTGGGTGGTGCTGGTGAACTCTCGGTGGGGCCCTCCTGAGCCCAGACACAGAAGGAGCTCTGACCCTCCCAGCTGGTCTTTGTCCCACTGCCCCAAACACCATCAGTACAGACAGTCAAATTCTTGATCTCCACAGGCGAGTCTGTCCTCGCCTCCTTCCTGCCCAGCTCTCTGACCACACCTATTTCACAAAGCCCAGCCTCAGCCTGATACAGCTGGAGCAAAGAGGAACTTGCTGTGCAGACAGCAGACTCAGGGGCATGGCTAACACACACCTTCACCCCCTAATGCTCACACCATTTATCATGATGTGTGACCAGGCTAAGTGACAGTCACGTTTTGCCTCAATTCTTGGGCTTTGAGGGGTCACCCGGAGGTTCAGGTGTTATCTGTAGTCATCTCCGTTCACTACTCAGTGTGTCCATGGGGTAGGATATGTGCCGTGGGGTGCCAGTTGAGCCACAGTCTCCACACCATCTCCCAAGGATAGTGGTCAGGTTAAGAGAACAGTGGATTTACAGAAGCTTTTCTTGCCTTATAGAAACTTCCTGTTCTTCAGGAAGATGACACACCTTTGGGGCTGCCTACCCACTGGACGGCTTGCCGGTGGCTGAGGGGCCACGACCTGGCTCCAGACCTCCAAGGTCTCCCCTTGTGCTTCCTTGTCATGGAAGGAAGCAGGTGCCAGCCCTCCCTGAGGGGCTTAGGCTACATTACTGCACGTAATCTCAGCTGCAAAGGAGCTTCTTGCCACAGTGACTGGGGGCCAGCGAGGGATCTGTCTGTTGAAGTGGCTGTACGTGGCTGTACATGCCTCGGGTCCCACTGTGCTTTCCCAGCCCTCGAAGGATGTCCCTGTTCTGCTTGAAGGAAAAGGCAGCTCACACTAAATCTGCTTAGTCTTGTTATAAATACAATGAAAATGTAAATGTTACAACGCAATGGATCAAATAATAGCAACTCATTTTGTGTGACTTTCAGTAGGAAAAAAACAAAAACTTACGTTAGTGTTGCTATGCTTCAGGGTTTTGTTTGTTTTTTCTACAGGGATGTATGTGTGGAAGAGGGGATGGGTATAAGCCCCAGATTTGGGGCTGGCTTGTCATCAGTGCAGTTAAACCACTTAAGGCCCTGTTGTCAGATATTTTTTTAATGCATTCAGTTTACCATTCATTATATTCCAGTTATGAGGGTCTTCTTTTTTTACTATTGTAGACAAAAACAAAATTTTTTTCTTTATGAATATTCTAACTACATTTCCTTTAAAATGGTAAGAGTTATCCGTTATGCATGGCTGATTTCTAATGAGAAAATATAATAAATTGATTAAATCTTTTAATAGTGCAAATTAGGCCATATCTGGAATCTGCCTAAAGCTGATGCATCTGTATTGAATTTCTCTCCATTAAGCAGTCTACCACAGTTAATTAAGTCAGTGATGCCTCTGGGCTGCCACCTCCTCTTTCCTTTTACTCATTTGCCTCAACCCATTACCCCATGTCAGGCCCCAGCCCCCCGCATGCCTAGCTCAGTACACATTCCCACTGCAGAAAAGAAAACACCTCTAGTCAAACTCAGAATGACCTTCAAATTTATTAATTCTGAATTAAGTTTAGGTCTCTCTTTGGGCAAACACTTCCTGTTACATAACTAAAGG